GAGAGAGAGAGATTACAAGCCGTGCCCGAGAGAGAGAGAGAGAGAGAGAGAGAGAGAGAGTTTGGATCTTACCTAGCAATGGGACAACGTTGTCATTCTCAGATAAGGAAAATCTGTTTTCCTTTATTCTCTTAATACATTCTCTTTGCAGTAGTATTGCTCCCGTGTCTTTTATCTTTATATGATATTAACTTTCTTAGCAAAAAAAAAAAGATTGGAGATGGAAGGGGATAGAAAACCGGATAGATTAGGGCCACGAGATAAGCCGGTGACACAGCCGAGAGAAGAGCATGTAAAGCATGAGAAGGAGGAACAAGGGTCAGCGACTGCACTAGACGGATCGTATAAGTAGAGATGAAACATGTTGATTGAATCATCGCTTATTGTATATAATATGAGACGACCATGGCAAACAAATCTTTTGCAAGAGAATCGATTAAAATAATATTGGCATGTCGTTGCCACCACAAACCCAACTGGGTTATTATTTCACTTTTTTTTTGGTGAATTTTTCAAAGTCCCAAGATGAGAAGAAGGCTGAACCATGCATGTTGGTTAAAGAGCCTCTGAAGAAAAAGTGAAATGGACGAGAGCAGAGGAGAAAGAGTAGCTTACGTCGTGTTTTTTCTGAGGGTAGCTCGTAAACTTTTAAAATATTTTTTAATTGATCAAATCAAATCTTAAAATATCTTAAACTTAACTAAAATCTTTAATTTTGTAACAGATAGTTGAAAAATATTATATATGTATTTATATTATTTTAGATTTTCTGTTTTGATTACACGTGATTGACCACTCTCCCTCATTCAAGTCTTTGAAAACTTGGTGCCACTAATATAGCAAACTTCATTCCACTTGCTCAACTCTCTTCACTTTTTAGTGCCACTAAATTAGGTAACTTGTTTAAACATCATCTTTATATAACGTCAAATGAGAGTAGAACAGAAAATAACAGGTGCACACCACTACAATCTTAAGTAATTGTTCTCCTATATTTTTCTTAAGTTCTTTTTCTATGGCAATTTTCTATCTTACTTTAATACAATTGTAGGTTATATAGTACTATCTTGTTCAGTCTCATTGGTCATTGGACGTGTAAGTTCATCTTTTGCTTTCTTAAATTATTTAGTTATCATTTATTATCAGTGACTAAATTATATTATTCGTTTTATACATAATCTATATGTATTCTTATACGATGATCTATACGTGGGTAAATGAGATATTTGTTTGATAAAGTAGCAAAATACATGATGACAAAAAAGTATGGTGTTTGTTTTTAGGTGCTAAAGAAGATTTTAGAGATTGTTATTAAAAAACTAGGGAAGGATACGTAAAAACTGATGTCATTTGTGTCTCTCAACTCTCGTTGCCGCATGACTAAATTATATTATTTGTTTTATCCATAATCTATATGTATTCTTAAATGATACTTGATATTAATATTTATAGGTTTTATTTTATAAGTTTATGTTATATGTTTATATTTGATAAATATGTCATTTTACTAGATGTATAATGGGATGTCATTTTACTAGAAGCATAATGGGAGATTCACAACCACAAGGAAAGAAAAAAGGATCATATGAAACGTGGAATGCACGAGAAACAAAAATGTTGATAAAACTCCTCACGGAGGGTATCAAACAAGGTTGGCGTGATGCAAGTGGTTGTATTAGCAAGCTGACAGTCGAGAAAAAGATTCTGCCTGTTTTGAATTCTGCACTTCACTGTGATAAATCTTATAATAACTATCAAAGTAAGTGTAGGAATTTGAGAAATCGTTATAATTGCATGCAAGACCTGGTTAAGTTTAGTTCTGGATTTGGGTGGGATCCCATAACTAAAAAGTTTACAGCTCCGGAACATGTGTGGGAAGATTACGAGAAGGTAACTCAAATTTTTTTT